TGTCACTGCAACCTCGACCTGCTGGGCTCAAGACATTCTTCCACCTCAGCCTTCCAAGTAGCTGGAACCACAGGAACACGCCACCACACCCAGTTAATTATTTGATTGATTGTAGAGGCAAGGTCTTGCTAATTTGCCCAGGCCAGTCTTGAACTCCTAGGCTCAGGCAATCCTCTCGCCTCCACTTCCCAAAGTGCTGGGATTATAGGTGTGAGCCACCACACGCAGCACTATTTTTACATAAAAAAATCTATATTAATCCTTTGTTATACATATTGCAAATGTTTTTCTTATTAAATGTTTTTTAAACTTTATGGTCTTTGGTTTACATTAATTTTAAATCTTTATCTAGTCAAAAATATAATCTTTCTCTTAATGTTCTTGATATTTTGCATATTATATAGTAAGACTTTTATAATCTTAATATTATAAAAATATTTTCCATAGCTCTGTTTTTTTACAGAGGTTTTGCTATATATGAAATTCATATTGAACTCTATTTTACTTTTTCCCCCCAATACATAGCCATCAGCATCTATTATCCTTATACCATTTATTTATTTTTGTTTGTTTTTCTTTTTGTTTTTTGAGTTGGAGTCTCGCTCTGTCGCCCAGGCTGGAATGCAGTGGCATGCTCACAGCCACCTCAGCCTCGACCTGCTGGGCTCAGGCATCCTTCCACCTCAGTGTTCCAAGTAGCTGAAACTACAGGCATGTGCCACCATGTCCAGCTAATTTTTTGATTTATTGTATAGATGGGGTCTCATTTTTAACCCCTGTAGATTTGAAATGGCACTGTTGTTTCATACTACATTTCCATATATTTAGGGATACATTTCTTGGTGATTTGATTCCCTTGATCATTTGTCTAATTCTGCTCCAGGTTCATACTTGTTAAATTACTGTGGCTTTATAGTATGTTTTGATGCCCTATAAGGTAATGTAACCTTTGTTCATTTTTCTTCTTTTTCTTTTTTCTTTTTTTTTTTGAGTCAGAGTCTCACTCTCTTGCCCAGGCTGGAGTGCAGTGATACGCTCATAGCCACTGCAGACTCAACCTGCTGAACTCAGGAGATCCTTCCAAGTAGCTGGTGTAGCTGGAGTAGCTGAAACCACAGGTACACGCAGCCACACCCAGCTGATATTTTGATTTATTGTAGAGACAAGACCTTGCCAAGTTGCCAAGGCTGGTCTCGAACTCTTAGGCTCAGGCAATCCTCTCATCTCTGTCTCCCAAAGTTCTGGGATTACAGGTGTAAGACATCAAACCCGGCTTATTTTTCTTCTTCTTCTTTTTAATATTTTATTTTAAAGATGTGGGGTACAATACAGGATTAGGTATATAATAAGACATCATACAACTTCTTTTTCAAAATTGCCCTGGCTATTCATTTTTCAAATAAATTTTAGAACTAGATTATCATTTTTCTTAACTTATGGGGTTATTGTTTTATTAAGTCTATAAAATAATTGGTGAAACATGTCTTTAAAATATTGATTCTTCCCATCCAGGGACATGATATAACTATTATTTGGGTCTTCTTTTATATTCCTTAATAAAGTTAATTATTTTTTCATATGTCTTACACATTTCTCATTAAGTCAATTCTTAGATATAAGTTTTTCATTCTATTATTAATGAAATATTTTTGTTTTCTCTATGTAATTTTTCTAATTGGTTAATGTTGGTGTGTAAGAAAAATATTGTACAAGGGGAACGCCAAAAACTGGAATTATTTTTTAGAGGGTGGGCCTCTTGTAGTACAGGCTTCCCACGCTAGCTGAAAGTTCTAGGAAGCCATCAGCATCAATGTACCAGCTAGTGTTGTGAGAGGCTGCATTTGACTTCAGTGAATTTTTTTTAAAGGTTTTTTTCAGTGTGTTTGCCCATTTCATGATGGATAATTTGCAGGAGCACCTCCCCACACTGCGTGGAGTGTTCAGCAATTTATGATCAAAGATGGCATGACCCCTGTGCCCTACCCTCCTTATTCACCCAATCTTGTCTCAAGCAACTTTTTTTTTGTTGTTTCTCTGGGTGAAAAAAGTCCTCAAAGGGAAACGTTTTGCTGATGTGGAAGAGGTGAAACAAAAAACGGCAGAAGCACTAAAAGGCATCAAAATTGACGAGTTTAGAAACTGCTGTGAGCAGTGGAAAAAACATCTCGATAGGTTACTGCATCAAATAGAGAGTACTTTGAAGGTATCTAAAGTTTAAACAAGCCGGGCTCAGTGGCTCAGCCTGTAATCCCGCGCCTTTGGGAGGCTGAGGTGAGTGGATTGCCTGAGCCCGTGGGTTCGAGACCCACCTGGGCAGCGAGACCTCATCTCTACAGTAAATCAAAAAATGAGCCGGGCGTGGTAGCGCGTGCCTGTAATTCCGGCTACTCAGAAGGCTGAGGCGAAAGGATCGCCGGAGCCCAGCAGGTTGAGGCTGCACCGGCCGGGAGCGGCCACTGCACTCCAGTCTGGGCTACGGAGTGAGACTCCAACTCAAAAACAAACAAACAAAAAAATAAAGTTTAAACACGTAAGACTGAATACATGATTTTTTAATAAGTAAATTCCAGGTTTCTTTTGAGTCCGCCCTCATATATTAAATCTATTGATTTTTATATGTTGATTTAATATCTGATACCTTATGAAACTTTTATTAGTTCTAATAATTTTTAGTTGATTCTGTTCTATGTAGATGATCATTTAGATGATCTACATATATATGATCATTATGCAAATTAGTTTTCTTTTTTTCCTATCTAATATCTGTACCTCTTGTTCCTTTTATCTGTCTTATTGCATTGGGTAAGACCTCTAGCAAAATGTCAGACAACAGCTGAGAAAAAGTTATGGACACTATTATGGTGCTTTCTCATATGATGTTGAGTAGTATATTCGCCAAGTGATTATGGTAGTTAACAGCTATGGTTTGAATAAGTTGCCCAAAATTCGTGTATTAGAAACTTAATCCTCCATACAACAGCGTTGGGAGGTGGGACCTAGTAAGAGGTGATTAGGTGATGAGGATGAAGCTTTCATGAATGAATTAATATAGTTATCTCAGGAATGAGACAGTTAGCTCAAGAGCAGGTTGTTATAAAAGAGAGCTCTCTCGTATGTACTCTCTTGCCCTTCTGCCCTTCCACTACAAGATGACTCTCACCAGAGGCTAGTGCCATGTTCTTGGAAATCCCAACTTCCAGAACCATAAGCTAAGTAAACCTCTATTCCTCATAAGTTGTCCAGTCTATGATAGTCTGTCATAGCAGCAGCAAAGAGACGAACATATTGACCTTAACCAAATTAAAGATATTTTTTGCTATCTTTAGCCTAAGAATTAGTAGGAATAGGTTGCTGTTTCATTAATTATTTTTGGGATTGATTGGGATTTTTTTTTTCTTTTTTTCTTTTTTTAGTTGGAGTCTCACTCTGTCACCCAGGCTGGAGTACAGTGGGCATGCTCATGGCCACTGCAGCCTCAACCTGTTGGACTTAGGTGATCCTTTCACCTCAGCCTTCCAAGTAGCTGGAACTAAAGGCATGTACCACCACACCCAGCTAATTTTTTGATTTATTGTAGAGATGAGGTCTCACCAAGTTGCCCAGGCTGGTCTTGAATCCGTAGGCTCAAGCAAGCCTCTCACCTCAGGCTCTCAAAGTGCTGGGATTATAGGTGTGAGTCACTGCACCTGGCCTGAGATTTTTTTTCTTTGAGAAATATAGCAACAGATTTCCTAATGTTTAACCATCTTTACATATCTGGGATAAATCTTACTTGGTCATGATGTATTATTAGTTTATCACTGAATGTTGAATGTGTAATACATTCTGTTTGGATTTTAGTTAAAACTTCTAACGTAAGTTGGTATTTAAAGCAGCTTAGCACTCAATGTGTTGAAGTATATTTCTACCCAATATTAGAAAATATAGTATTTTTAGTGTGAGGATCTTATACTTAGATTCCAGCAGAATTTTATTTTGTTCATGTAAATTGTTTGTTTTTATTATTAGATACTAAATGTTCACTGTTTTACATATATATATATATTTATATATTTATAATTTATATATATATATATATTTATATATTTATATATATATATAAAATGTGGGTTTTTTTAGCTTTAAAATTGTTTTTGTTTTAAAATTGTGGGGTACATTTCAGGGTTAGGTATATAAATATTCACTGTGCAGGTACCCTTGTTGATGAGGTGTGCCCCCCCTTCCCCAGGCAGATTTCCACTACTGTCAATCCCACCTCCCCACTCCCCCGCCATGTGTTTTTATTGATGTTTTGAGCAAAAGATAGTTAGCTGGCCTGTCACAGATTGTAGAGTTGGACTAAAAGATACATAAGAACATAAGGATAGGCCGAGCGTGGTGGCTCATGCCTGTAATCCCAGCATTTTGGGAGGCCGAGGTAAGAGGACTACCTAAACCTGCGGGTTCAAGACAAGCCTGCCCAGGTAACTTGGCGAGACCTCATCTCTACAATAAAGAAAAAAGTTAGCCGGGCATGGTGGTGCATGTTTGTAGTTCCAGCTACTTAGAAGGCTGAGGTGGAAGGATAGCCTGAGCCCAGCAAGTCAAGGCTGTGGTGACCGTAAGCATGTCGCTGCACACTAACATGGGTGACAGAGTGAGACTCCAACTCAAAAAACAACAATGACAACAAAAAACCCACAAAAAACAGGATAATAATAATGCCATATTCTCTTACTTAGGTTCTGCTCTTTTCTCCCCTTCTTAGTGGTTGAAAGACTCACAGAACTTAGTTAGAAATCTAGCTCTGGGGATGGGGAAACACCTCTTATCAACAGAGTGCCTGAATGAAACGCAATTGTACACCTAATCCTTAACTGTACCCCACAAAACCATAATAAAAATATTGATAAAAAAAGGAAATTTAGCTCTTCTGATAATTAGCTATTAACTTCATAGTTATTTATTCTCTCTGAGTCTTAACTATGCCATCTGTAATAATTAAAATTGTAGCAATACCATTTATGGCTGAGTTGATAGGTCCTCAAGAACATACCCACAGATGGATAGTTTGTATATTTTCAGCAAGGCAAAAGTAAATTATGCAAAGCTATTAGTGGAATACAGCAAATACAGATTTCATTTGGACCATCTGTCAGATCTCATGGATCCACACATTTCTGCATTTTTAGTCCAATGGGTATATACAGTAATATATATGCCAGGCTATTGGCAGGCTGTTGTAGAAGATACTACAGAAAAAAATATTCAAAGTTTGATAATATCTGTGGCTTAAGTATTTGATGACTACATAATCCTGGGTTACATTACCTGTTTCTACCAATCTTGAAATTGTTTTTGGAGTCTTCTGCTATCATCAGCTATCATTATTTTAATAATTAAAACACTACTCTGGCTGGGCCTAGTGGCTCAAGCCTATTATCCCAGCACTTTGGGAGGCGAAGGTAAGAAGATTGCCTGAGTCCGGGGGTTCGAGACCAGCCTGGGCCACTTGGTGAGACATCATCTCTACAATAAATAAATAAATAAATAAATAAATAAAAATTAGCCAGGCATGGTCGTGCATGTCTGTGGTTCCAGCTACTTGGAAGGCTGAGGCAGAAGGATTGCTTGAGCCCAGCAGGTCGAGGCTGTGGTGGTCTTGAGCATGCCACTGCACTCCAGCCTGGGTGACAGAATGAAATTCCAACTCAAAAAAAACCAAAACAAAAAACACTACTTCCTACCCCTTGAAAGTCCTATTGCATCTTATCGCACATAATTCTTCCTTCATGGGATTGTTTTTTTTGGAGTTGGAGTCTCTGTGGCCCAGGCTAGTGTGCTGTGGCACGCTTAGGGTCACCGCAGCCTCAATCTGTTGGGCTCAGGTGATCCTTCTGCCTCAGCCTTCTGAGTAGCTGAAACTACAGGCATGTGCCACCATACCTGGTTAATTTTTTTATTTATTGTAGAGATGAGGTCTCGCCAAGTTGCCCAGGCTGGTCTTGAACCTGTGGGCTCAGCCAATCCTCTCACCTCGGCTTCCCAAATTGCTGGGATTATAGGTGTGAGCCACCGCGCTCGGCCTGGATTGTTATAAAGCTTAAATGAGACAAGGTATGTGTGATAGTATTGGACATAGTACCTTCTTTATTTTACTGGTTATGTAAAGATGAGGTTTGTTTTGTTTTGTTTTGTTTGAGTCAGAGTCTCACTCTGTCACCCAGGCTGGATGTGGTAGCATGATTATGGCTCACTGCAGCCTCGACCTCCTGGGTTCAGGTGATCCTTCCATTTCAGCCTCCTGAGTAGCTGGGACTACAGGTGTGTGCCACCACACTTGGCAAATTTTTAAAGTTTTTTATGGAGACAAGGGCTCCCTATGTTGCCCAGGTTGGTTTGGAGTTCCTGAGCTCAAGCAGTCCCCTCACCTTGGCTTCACAAAGTGCTGGGATTACAGAGGTAAGCCACCACACCTTGCCAAGATGAGTATTTAAGTGTTTATGTGGTTTTTTTGTGTGTGTTTTTTTTTTTGAAGTCGGTGTCTCACTGTCGCCCAGGCTGGAGTACAGTGGCATGTTTATGGCCACAACAGTCTTGATGGGCTGGGTTCAGGTGACTCTTCCTTCTACCTCAGCCTTCCAAGTAGCTGCAACCATAGGCACATGCCACCACGCCTGGCTAATTTTTTAAATTTATTGTAGAGATGAGGTTTCGCCAAGTTGCCCAGACTAGTCTCAAATCCTTGGGTTCAGACAGTCCTCTTGCCTCCGCCTCCCAAAGTGCTGTGATCACAGGCATGAGCCACTGTGCCCAGCCTAAATGTTTATATAAGACTTTCAAGAATAATGTCTTGAGTATTATACCAGCAGGGGATGATGAGAGTTGTTTTTTTTTTTTTTTTTTTTTGAGTTGGAGTCTCACTCTGTCACCCAGACTGGAGTGAAGTGGCTGCTCCCGGCCACTGCAGCCTCGCCTGCTGGGCTCCAGCGATCCTTCCGCCTCAGCCTTCCAAGTAGCCGGAATTACAGGCGCGCGCTACCACGCCCGGCTGATTTTTTGATTTATTGTAGAGATGAGGTCTCGCTGCCCAGGCGGGTCTCGAACCCGCGGGCTCAGGCAATCCACTCACCTCAGCCTCCCAAAGGCGCGGGATTACAGGCTGAGCCACCGAGCCCGGCTGATGAGAGTTTTTAAAAGGGTACTTGCTCTAAAAACAAGTAGGTAAGGCAGGTAAAGAAATCACACAATTCAGGGTGATAGTCACCAGAGGTTTAAGTAATTTACAAGCTGGGCTCTGAACTCAGACTGTGTAGCATCCACAGAGCCATTCAGTTGCATCAGGAGGTGCTGGCCAGCAGAAGAAAGGGAGAAGGCTGTCTAGTCCAGTCAAGGTATGGAGATTTGAGAAGGGCACATCCTGGAGCTGTGAGTGCAGGGCTGGGAGGATGGATCTTCAGATGAGGCTAATGCAGGATCCACATCAGACAAGTTACTCAAGCAAGACTTCCAGTTCTTCCTCTGTTCCATAACTGTGTGCCCCATCATAAACTTTAGCTTGTCAAGTTGCCCTCAAGGTCAAACCGAGTCAAGTGCAGCTGTTTGCAGTTCGAGAAGCTTGCTGGCTGGTTACTTTTTCCCTGGCTGACTGAAGTCACCTCTCACAAGTCACCTCCAGGTTTCTATTCTGCTCTGTGCTGTAACGTAGGAAAGAAACTCAAGGTTTACTTGAGTAACTTGATAATCATGTTTCTTCAGCCGGCCACTTAATCTTTTAGGTTAGTATAAGACCCTGGTCGGAGGGGCAAAGTCCAGTCCCCACCATTTTTCGGGGAGGGGGGTCGTCTCATAGTTAAAAAGTCCTTTACAGCTAGTTAAAGGCAGCATTTTGGAACTGGAACCTTGGCAGAGAGCGCTGGCTCATGCCTGTAATCCCACTTTGGGAGGCTGAGGAAGGAGGATCGCTTGAGGTCAGGAACTCAAGAAGTGCCACCTGAAGCCAGAGTGCTTGTCTCCGTGACCAGCCGACTTTCGAGGCCTGCGGTACAATCCCATTCCCAAGTTCGAAGGCACTCCTTAGGAGACGGGACCCTCGAATGGAAGACAAACAGGAGAGCCTAGGTCAACGCTGGAACGTTCACGGCTGGCCATGCCGGCCAGAGAGCAAGCATAAAAAGGCGCCAACCAAAACAACATCGAAAAGCTCCGTGCTCCCTGCGACCCTTCGCAGTCTCGCCATCTGCCAAGGGTGGCGTCTCGCAAGTGCAGA